GCTCACCTTGAGATAGCACTCAGGCCCAGAGTTCAAGCCCCACAACCAACAACAAAACAAAAACAAAAACCAGCAGGCTTCCAGAAAACACACATGTGAACCCACTAAGATATGGTTTAGAACCTGGTTTAGAACCAGCCTTCATTACTTCATTATTTTTCTGAGTGTGTGTGTGTGTGTGTGTGTGTGTGTGTGTGTGTGTGTGTGTGTGTGTGTGCGCGCACATGTGCATAGAGGCTTAAACTGAGGACTTCACCCTCTTGCGTTTTCACTCAATGCTGGTGCTTTACCAATTGAGTCACAACCCCACTTTCAGCTTTTTTTTTTTGCTAGTTCATTGGAGATAAGACTCTCACAGTTTGGTCTGTTTTGGGGCTGGCTTTGAATAGCAAGTGTCAAATCTCAGCCTCTTGAATAGCTGAAATGCCACCAAGTACACGACCCTCATTTTCTTGGATGATAGAAGAGTTCTTCCCCGTCTTTCAGCACTTCAAGAAAAGAATCATAGGAGAAGGCAAGAATGCTCAGCCTAGCCAGGCACTGGTGGCTCACGCCTGTCATCCTAGCTGCTCAGGAGGCTGAGGTCTGAGGATCATGGTTCAAAGCCAGCCTGCGCAGGAAAGGCCGAGAGACTCTTATCTAACAATGAACCACCAGAAAAACTGGAAGTGGAGCTGTGGTTCAAGCGGCAGAGCGCACTCCTTGAGCTGAAGAGCTCAGGGACAACACCCAAGCCTGAGTTCAAGCCCCACGACCAACAACAAAAAAGACTACTCAGCCTAGCACTAGCTGTGGGGCTGAGACACCTTTCTGGCCTATTCTAGGGGGGGGGAATCCCCTCTCCCAGTTACTAGGGGAAACTTATTCTTTCCCGAAGATGGTTTCTTTTGGAGGGGAGGGACGGGGGGGTCAGTCACAGGGCTTGAACTCAGGGCCTGGGTGCTGTCCCTGAACTTTTTCTACCACTTTGAGCCACAGCTCCACTTCCACTTTTCTGGTGGTTCATTGGAGATCAGAGTCTCACGGATTTTCCTTCCCGGGCCGGCTTTGAACAAGGATCCTCAGATCTCAGCCTCCTGAGTAGCTAGGATGACAGGCGTGAGCCAATGGGGCCTGGTTTCTTGGCCAATTTTAAAAAGTATGGGACATTCTCGAGTTGATAGGTTAGTACGGAACTCCCCAATTACCCATAGTTACAGCCTAGATGTTCACATCACCCTTCGGTCTTCTGGTCTCCTCTCCCACAGAACCAGTGGGCAGGGGAAAGCAGTGACATCATAAGAGTACTTATGATGCAGGAACCAGGCTGTCTTCCAAGTCAAGGCTGGCGCTCTATCCTTTGAGCCACACCTCTAATTCTAGCTTTTGGGTGGTTGGAGAATCGCATACAGATTCCTGTCCCAGGCTGGCTTTGAACCTTGATCCTCAGTTCTCAGCCTCCCTGAGCAGCTAGGTTGACAGGTGTGAGCCACCAGCGCCTGACCTAACACAGCTTTTGAGAGTGCTGGAATTACAGGTATGCATTGCTACACCTGGCTCAGCCTTGTGTAACGTGATGTGTAAATGAACCTCTAATTTGTCTTACTTCTATGAGCTATCTATTGGAACTCCTAATGTACACAGACAATATCTCTCTTCTTCCTTGAGTACTTCTATTTAAATTGTAGCAGATATTTTTGCATGCTGAACAAATAAGTATCCCCAATGCCCCAAGCCAGGCCCCCCCAAAAAAAACCTTAAGCCAAATTTCCTTTTCTCTACCTGTTGCTTCCAGCAACTTTCTATATTGATATCATCTGAGATAGGATGTATATTTTATGGAACTATTCCTATTTTTGGAGGGAAAATAATCTTGGTTATGACAATAAATTTCAGTGGAATCTGTTTGCATTTGTACACATTACTGCTTGGTTATTCTCTTGGATTTTTTTAAAATTTTTTATTGTAAAGATACTATACAGAGGGTTACAGTTACATGAGCAAGGTAATGAGTACACTTCCTATTGAGCTTTGCTACCCCCTCCATTGTTTTCCCCCTACCATCCTTTCCCTCCCTACCTTCCCCGAGGTTCTTTTTTTTTTTTTTTTAATTGTGATTAAGTGATTACATAATTTCTCAAATTTCACAGTATTGTGGAATAATGATGCTCATTTAAAGTCACAAGTTCATTCTAAGTTTCCTGGAGCAAATTGTCTATCACAGTCTATAACATATAACAGTGTACACATATACACCATACATGTGATCAGCAGCATGGGGATATTTAGTAGTGGTTGGACCAGATGAGCGGGAGTTCTTTGTTTCTTAAGTCCTGTTAATTTTGTCTTATCACCTAACATTTTGGATTTAACATCCACTTATCAGGGAGACCATGTACCGTTTGTCTCTTTGCTCTTGGATTATCTTGGATTTTTTTTTTTTAGTGGAGATTATATAAATGATACCATATGATAGCAACATGGAAACTTGTTTCTTTTCCTCTTTTGTACGGTATTTTAAGAGTTTTATATTTTTACTTATTTGTGATGGTGGTAGATCTTGAACTCAGTCCCATAGCTTTTTAGTGCTCTACCACTTGAGCCACACATCTATTTCCAGCTTTCTGGCCAGGCTGGTTTTGAACCTTGATTCTCAAATCTCAGCCTCTTAAGCAGCTAGGATTATAGATAGGAGCCACCAGGGCTGACCTGGTTTTGTTTGCTTGTCTATTGTCATAGAGTTAACTTCCCAGAAAAACTCTCAGACAAAGCTTAGCATTCATAAAAATATCTTCTCCTTGGCCCAGGTAACCTGGATGACATATTATTTTAAAATGTAGTCCAGGCACCCATGGCTCACACCTGTCATCCTAGCTACTCAGGAGGCTGAGATCTGAGAATCGAGGTTCAAAGCCAGCCTGGGCAGGAAAGTCCGTGAGACTCTTATCTCCAATGAACCACCAGAAAACCAGAAGTGATGCTGTGGCTCAAGGGGTAGAGCACTAGCCTTGAGCTGAAGAGCTGAGGGACAGCGCCCAGGCCCAGAGTTCAAGCACCATGACTAACAAAAAAAAAATGTAACTAACTATTGGGGCTCAGATTTTATTTTCAGAAGCTGGGGTGTTTCCCTGTTCTTGTTCACAGTGGTGAAAAGGTGGATGTCAACCTATTCCCTTGTATGTAAGTTGTTGATTTCTTTTCCTCTTGAACTGCCTAAGCCTTTGATCAGTTATGACGTTGTGCTGTGATCTGTGGCACTCCATCTGGTTCTCTTCATCTTCTGAGGTCACGTGAGTCCCCTTAGGCTCTGGGAAATTCATTCATGCTTTAAACCAGTGGCTGGTTGCCTTCATCTTTGTCAAGGACACTTTTGTCGGTCATGGGGCTTGAACTCTGGGCCTGGGCGCTGTCCCTCAGCTCTTCAGCTCAAGGCTAGTGCTCTACCACTTGAGCCACAGCGCCACTTCTGGTTTTTTGGTGGTTCATTGGAGATCAGAGTCTCATGGAATTTCCTGCCCAGGCTGGCTTTGAACCTCAATCCTCAGATCTCAGCCTGCTGAGCAGCTAGGATGACAGGCGTGAGCCACTGGAGCCTGGCTTCATGTACACTTTGAATGTCCTATCTGCTAGTCACTGCATCTACTTGTATTATTTTTGTGTATGTGCCTGTCCTTGGGCTTGAACTCAGGGCCTGTGTATTGTCTCTGAGCTTCTTTTGCTCAAGGCTAGCACTTTTACCATTTTGAGCCAACAGTGCCTTTTGTCTTTGTGGTGGATTAGTTAAGAAACAAATGTGGCTAATTAGAGCAAGTGTATCATGGACTTTCCTGCTCAGGTTGGCTTCGAACCACAATCCTCAGAATCTCAGCCTCCTGAGTAGCTAGGATGACAGCAGTGAGACCGATTGGAAGCTAATTTTTGCTGACAAATTCTCCCTTAGTCTACTGGTGAGCGCCACAATCCTTACCCATAGATTTCAGAGTGGGGGGGGGGCAGGGAGGGGGGAGGAGGAGGACGGGTCTCAGTGCATCAGCAATATCTTGGTAGGAGTGTAACAGGTCCTGTCACTCCTGCCTAAGACATCTCTGAAAATCAAACAAGAAAATGTATACAGGAAGCCAGGCACTGGTGGCTCATTCCTCTAATCCTTGCTACTCAGGAGGCTGAGATCTGAGGATGGAAGTTCAAAGTCAGCCTGGGCAGAAAACTCTGAGAGGATTCTTCTCTCCAATTAACCAGCAAAAAAAAAAAAAAAATCAGAAGTGGGGGCTGGGAAGGTGGCTCAGTGGTAGACCGCTTGCCTCGCATGCATGAGGCCCTGGGTTTGATTCCTCAGCACCACATAAGCAGAAAAAGCCAGAAGTGGCGCTGTGGCTCAAGTGGTAGAGCACTAGCCTTGAGCTGAAGAGCTGAGGGATAGCTCCCAGGCCCAGAGTTCAAGCCTCATGACTGACAAAAAAATCAGAAGTGGAAGTGTGGTTCAAGTGGTAGAGCACCAGCCTTAAGGGGGGAAAAACCCAAAGGAAAATTCTAAATCCTGAGTCCATTCCTTCGTACTAGCACAAAAAGGAAGAAGGAAGCTGGAGGCTGATGGCTCATGCCTATAGTCTTGGCTACGCAGGAAGCTGAGCTCTAAGGATCTTGGTTCAAAGCCAGCCTGGGCAGGAAAGGCCATGAGACTCATCTCCAATGAACCACTAGAAAACCGGAAGTGGCGCTGTGACTCAAAGCGGTAGAGTGCTTGCTAGCTTTGAGCAGAAGAGCTGAGGGACAGCGCCCAGAGTTCAAGCCCCACAACCAACAACAGCAACGAAGAAAAAAAGGGCAGGGGAGAATGGGAAGAAGGAAGAAAGGAACAGGAGGAGAAGCAAAGGAGGTAGATTTAGCCCCAGCAGGGCAAGAAGACAGAATCCCAGTGTGGCCCAATTCCTCAGAGCTAATACTGCTCGGGATGCTAAGTCTTTCCTATGACCTACTTCTGCCTTGACACTTGTGAAACAAAAGTCTACAAAATAACCCCTTCACTGCTTTATGGGGAGGGGAATACACTCAGACACCATGCAAGACCCCGAACCCAGCAAGATCTCCAACTTGAGCTGCAGATGATTGTCCAAGATCCGATAGTGACCTTTGATGACACCCCAAGATGCGTAGGCATGACAATAGGCCTGGATGATGCGTACAGCCCGGAGCAACCGACAATAGCGCTGGCAGACACTCCACATGCGGACCCACGACTGTAGCTTGACCGCTGCCCACTCCTCCCGAGAGATTGTCCTCAGGATCACCTGTCGCCTCTTCTCCGTGAGTTTCAACAGCACCATCCGCCACCAGCTCTGGATAATCCAGGCCCTGAGTGCCGCGTGTAGTAGCGTCCGGCAGACCAGGACCCCCCTCCACCAAGCCTGAATCTTTACCACTGGTGTATTTTCTTCCTGCTTCTCTGGGTACTTGCAAGAAGAAGAGAGAAAGACAGAGAGACAAGCCCAGCACTGGTGGCTCACGCCTGTCATCCTAGCGACTCAGGAGGCTGAGATCTGAGGATCGGGGTTCAAAGCCAGCCCCACAGGGATGGAAAGCCCATGAGACTCTTCTCTCCAATGAAGCAGCAAGAAAAAGGTGGAAATGAAGCTGTGACTCACATGATAGAGCTCTAGGCTTGAGCATAAGAGCTCAGGGATAGTGCCGAGGCTCCTGAGTTCAAGCCCCCAGGACTGCCACCAAAAAGAAAAAGAAAAAGAAGAAAGAAACATAACTGGGGTATTTCTTTTTTCTTGTCAGTCGTGGGGCTTGAACTCTGGGCCTGGGCGCTGCCCCTCAGCTCTTCAGCTCAAGCTTAGCGCTCTACCACTTGAGCCACAGCGCCACTTCCAGTTTTCTGGTGGTTCATTGGAGATCAGAGTCTCACAGACTTTCCTGCCCGGGCTGGTTTTGAACCGTGATCCTCAGATCTCAGCCTCCTGAGTAGCTAGGATGACAGATGTGAGCCACCAGCACCCAGCCTGTGTTTATCTATTTCTGTTGTTAGCTCAGGACCATGCAAAGGGCATCAGGCACAAACTCCATGGCCCCAAAGCCATGGCTCCTCCTACCTTTAACTGCTTCTCTGAGGCTTTGGGTATGGAGGGTAGACCAGTTGACTCTTCCTGCTGAGGAGGTTCATTAACATCTTTTCTTTTAAGTTGATCTACCCCCTACAATCAATAGTTGGGGGGGGGGGGGAGGAAGAGTGAGGCCATTGTCCATCTCCATCACATCCCCAGCTCCCTCCCAGGGCTTCGCAAAGCCCTCTCTCTCTCTCCCCAAAGCTGCTATGTCTGCCTCTCTCACTCACCATTGGTCACACGTGGAATGGGCATAGATGGTTCAAATCCCCTCGGGTTTCTGTTCCTTCAGTCTTGGCATGGGACAGAGAGAGGAGAGCAAGGAGACCCATGATGTCATAAGAACAACTATGACACAGAACACCAAGACGGGGGCTCTGGGAAGGTGGCTCAGTGGTAGAGCGCTTGCCTTGCATGCCTGAGGCCCTGGGTTCGATTCGCCAGCACCACATAAGCAAAAAGAAAAAAAGCTGAAGTGGCACTGTGGCTCAAGTGGTAGAGCGCTAGCCTTGAGCTGAAGAGCTGCGGGACAGCGCCCAGGCCCAGAGTTCAGGCCCCATGACTGGACCAAAAAAAAAAAAAAGAATATCAAGATGGCTCCCAAGAGTGGAGGCCGCTCCCCACCAAGGGGGGGGAAAGTAACAATTATTCATTCTTTTCTACCATAAATGGGCAAAGATTTGGCCTGAAAGCCAAGGTATCAGAAGTATCAGTCCATTGAGTTGAAGGTATATAAAGATAGCCAGGGCTGGGAAGGTGGCTCAGTGGTAGAGTGCTTGCCTAGCATGCATGAGGCCCTGGGTTCAATTCCTCAGTACCATATACACAGAAAAACCAGAAGTGGTGCTGTGGCTCAAGTGGTAGAGGTCTAGTCTTGAGCAAAAGAAGTTCAAGGGCCAGGGGCCAGTGGCTAACACCTGTCATCCTAGCTACTCAGGAGACTGAGATCTGAGGATCACAGTTCAAAGCCAACCCAGGCAGGAAAGTCCGTGGGACTCTGATCTCCAATGAACCACCAGAAAGCCAGAAGTGGCGCTGTTGCTCAAGTGGTAGAGTGCTCACCTTGAGCTGAAGAGCTCAGGGATAGCACCCAGAGTCCAAGCCTCATGACCGACAAGGAAATAAATAAAAGAAGCTCAGGGACAGTGCCCAGGCCCTGAGTTCAAGCCCCAGGACTGACAAAAGAAAAAAAAAGTTAGCCAGTCATTGGTAATAGCTTTTAATGGCAAAATTTAAATATCCATTAATAGGGAATTGATTTAGTGATGTTCAGTGCCTTTATAACTTAGATATTACATAATTACATTAAGATATTACATAATATTACTATTAAAAATAACAACATATTACTGATGAGGAAGTATATCCAAGATATTTTTTCCCCTCTAGCATTACTGGTGTTTGAACTCAAGGCCTCATGACTGACAGACAGGTACTCTTCTGCAGGTTACTACTAGTAGTAGTAGCAGTAATACTAGTAGTTCTAGTACTGGGGTGTGGACTCAAGGACTGGACATTGTCCCCCTTTTTTTTTTTTTTGCGAGTCCTAGGGCTTGAACTCAGGGCTTGGGCACTGTCCCTGAGCTTCTTTTGCTCAAAGCTAGTGCTCTACTACTTGGAGCCACAACACCACTTCCAGCTTTTTCTGGAAGTGTCTCACAGACTTTCCTGCCTGGGCTGGCTTTGAACCTCAATCTTCAGATCTCATCTCCTGAGTAGCTAGGATTCCAGGTGTGAGCCCATAAGGACCAGTTTGTCCCTTAAGCTTTTTTGCTCACTGCTGGCACTCTTCCACTTGAGCCATACCTCCAGTCCTGATTTTCCTCATTCTTGTCTCTAGAAGTTAAACTCTGCACCTAGCAAATACTAAAAGAACTGCTCACTGAATGAACAGATGGATTTGATTATGTAAAATTGAGCCAGATTGCTTCCCTAGAGATTTCCCCGATTCCTTGGGGGCAGGTCCTGTCTTTCTTTACTCTTCCCAGTGCCCAATGTCCCCATACAAGGTGGGGGGGGGCGGAGAGGTGAGCAGGAAGTGACTGGGCTGTGTAGAGATGGAGTTCAGCACTAAGAACTGGACAGCAACCAGATAGAGGGTTGGGAAAATTAAAGAGGGGAGGGGCCTGGAAATGCAACAGAACTGTGATTGGTGAATTAGACAGGAAGAGGCGGGACAAAGGAGCTGATGGAGAAGAGCTAGCAGCTGTCCCAAGTGTCACTCTCCTCTCTGCCGTACATGATCAGCTCGAGGTCAGGTGGTGAGGAGGGTCCCAGGCCCTCTGTCAGCCTCTAGCTAAGCTCTGGCGGTTCAAAGCCAGCCTGGGCAGCCAAGTCCATTGAGATTCTTGTCTTCAATTAACCACCAGAAAGCCACAAGAGAAATGGCTGTTCCTTATCCACTCAACAGGACAAAGTCCCAGTTTGCCCCAGTTGGTGAGATCTGTTTCAGTAACATGTCAAGTATCATCTCTAAGCCGTGATTAACAGATGATGACTTCCAGAATCTTTTTCTTTGTCGGTCGTGGGGCTTGAACTCTGGGCCTGGGCACTGTCCCTCAGTTCTTCAGCTCAAAGCAAGCGCTCTACCACTTGCGCCACAGCGCCACTTCCCATATTCCGGTGGCTTATTGGAGATAAGTCTCACGGAGTTCCTGCCCAGGCTGGCTTTGAACTGAGATCCTCAGATCTCAGCCTCCTGAGTAGCTAGGCTGACAGACGTGAGCCACCAGCGCCTGGCTGACTTCCAGAATGGCTTCATCCAAGTGCCATGTGATCGAGGGCTTGGGGATACCTCAGGTGTCCCCCTAAAGTCCTTTCAATATCCTTTCCTAGCCTTCAAACTTTATGTGCATATTTCCTAGCCTGTGCTTAGAGACCAGCCTGAGAGAATACTCAGGTTAGCCAGCAGCTGAGGCCTAGCTCAAATGCAAATACCATGTCCTGTTTCCTTCCTTGTTCCAGTAGATGCACACATATGCATCCAGGATCAGGAGTACATGCACGTATGCGTACACAAACACACCATGGTAGCAAAATGGATGTATGGCAGGTCCTCCCTCATCCTCACACAAGCTAGTTCTCAGTAATTCCAAATATAAACTCAATTGGATTAACAAGCAACAGAAACTGGGCACTGGTAGCTCATGCCTGTAATCCTAGCTACTCAACAGGCTGAGAGCTGAGGATTGCAGTTTGAAGCCAGTAGCTCATGCCTGTAATCTTAGCTACTGAAGAGGCTACTGAAAGTCTGGAGAGGTGAGTTTGAAGCCAGCCCAGGACAAGTTAAGTGCATGAGATTCTTGTCTCCAATTAACCACCAAAAAGCTGTTAAGGGGAGCAGTAACTCAAGTGGTAGAGCACCAGCTTTCAGAACAGTGCTTGATCCTGAGTTCAAGCCCCCAGTATCAAAAATAAAAGGAAAGGAAAATGGGTTCAGAGGGGCTAATAAAGAGCGAATGAAAAATGTGAATGAAGTTGACTATTGCCTGTGTAGGCATAAAAAATGGTCCATTAAAGAGTGGGGTGGAAAAGTGACAGAGAAGATCGACAAGATACATTGAATATACGTGTGGCAATGTTACAAAGGTTGGGGCCAAGCACAGTAGGAAGCCCATATCATTCTGAGAGGCTCAGATGTTGGGCCCAATGAGCTAAGAGATTTCTTTTATTTGCCAGGCCTGGGGCTTGAACTCAGGGCCTGAGCACTGTCCCTGAGCCTCCTTTTGCTCAAGACTAATGCTCTAAATTATTTTGAGCCAAGTAAGCCAAGAACAAAGAGACAAACAGGGGGCTGGGAAGGTGGCTCAGTGGTAGAGCGCTTGCCTTGCATGCCTGAGGCCCTGGGTTCGATTCCTCAGCACCACATAAGCAGAAAAAGCCAGAAGTGGTGCTATGGCTGGCTCAAGTGGTAGAGCGCTCGCCTTAAGCTGAAGAGCTGAGGGATGGCGCCCAGGCCCAGAGTTCAGGCCCCACGACCGGCAAAAAAAAAAAAAAGAAACAAACAAACAGCATATGGTCTCCCTGCTATGTGCATGCTAAAGCCAAAATGCACGAAGATATGGCAAACAGGACTCAAGAAACAAAGGACAGCCATTCATTTTGTCGTATCATTGCTAAATGACTCCATGTTCTTGACCCATAAATATATCCTAACCCTAACCCTATATGGTAGATAAATGCACGCAAAGAGGAAGAAACAGAATAAGTGGGAAACAGAACTACACACAACAAAGAGGCCCAACAGCTGCACTGGACATAGAAGGAAAAGAACTAAGCGACCCAAAGACAGCAATGGGAAGGGAGGAATGAGAGGAAAAGACGGAACAGCCTACACTAAGCAAAAGAAATGCCGGGCGCTGGTGGCTCACGCCTGTAATCCTAGCTACTCAGGAGGCTGAGATCTGAGGATCGCGGTTCAAAGCCAGCCCGGGCAGGAGAGACCGCGAGACTCCTATCTCCAATAAACCACCAGAAAACCGGAAGTGGCGCTGTAGCTCAAGTGGTAGAGCGCTCGCCTTGAGCTGAAGAGCTGAGGGACAGCGCCCAGGCCCAGAGTTCAAGCCCCACGACCGACCAAAAAAAAAAAGAAAGAAAGAAATGTAAATACCTGATGAGGAAGAAATAATTAGTATTGTCAAAGCTTATAGAAGTCACAAACTGTGTAGACCATGATCATGACAATTTGCCTTGTGAAGGTTAAAATGTGTTTGTGACTTTAAGTATGACCATTCTCCTATGAAATATGTGAAATTTAAGTAGTCACCTAATCTCAATTAAAGAAAAAAAGTAAGAAGGGATGGGTTAGGAGAGCTGGGTAACAATGTTGTCAGACACCTTGTACTCATATACTGTTTTAAAGACTAGCGCTCTTACCACTTGAGCCACAGCACCACTTCAGCTTTTTCTGTGTGTGTGGGACTGAGGAATCGAACCCAGGGCTTCATGCATGCCAGGCAAGCA